CATAGAGGCCGGACAAAGCAGGGTGGAGATTTGAGATGTCACACAGCGAAAAAAAAAAAAAAAAAAAAAAAAAAAAAAAAAAAAGAACAAACAGAGGGACAGTGAACTGAGTCTGAGTGATGGGAATTCTCAGGCTTCCACTGTCGCCTTGCTGTGCCTCCTACTGACTTTTCAAGAAGCTGTTGAGTACCCATGAGCATTTCCTTCCAAAAGGTAGACTATTTTCCTTCTCTCTTACACTGGAATATTTTAATGTCCTCAAATAGCCGAGTAGCATCTAAGGCAGGCAGAAGGCCACTGGGAGGCCACCCTTAACTCTGTGATCTCATGGGGCTGAATCCTAACCCTGACCCTACCCCTAACAGTGTCTCTTGAGTAGATGGTTACATTAATCACACCATGTTGGGCTGATGGCAGTGCCTGCTTCTGCTATCACGAATTAGCTAGGAAAACCAGCTGCAGAGGAAATTCAAAGCCAGCCTGGCCAACTTAGAGAGACCCTGTCTCAAAATAAAAATGCAAAGAGGGCTGGGGGTGTAACTCAGTGGTAGAGCACTTTGACTTTTCAAGAAGCTGTTGAGTACCCATGAGCATTTCCTTCCAAAAGGTAGACTATTTTCCTTCTCTCTTACACTGGAATATTTTAATGTCCTCAAATAGCCGAGTAGCATCTAAGGCAGGCAGAAGGCCACTGGGAGGCCACCCTTAACTCTGTGATCTCATGGGGCTGAATCCTAACCCTGACCCTACCCCTAACAGTGTCTCTTGAGTAGATGGTTACATTAATCACACCATGTTGGGCTGATGGCAGTGCCTGCTTCTGCTATCACGAATTAGCTAGGAAAACCAGCTGCAGAGGAAATTCAAAGCCAGCCTGGCCAACTTAGAGAGACCCTGTCTCAAAATAAAAATGCAAAGAGGGCTGGGGGTGTAACTCAGCCCAGGATGTGTGAGGCCTTGGGCTGAGTCCCAGCACTAAAGGAAAAAAAAGGAAAGTCACAGATCTGCATCTCAGGACACATTGCCAGTTTATATGGCATGGGCTGTACTCATGTTAAAAATAAAATAAAAAGTGTTAAAAGGCATGCTGTACTGCCTGCCCATGAAGTTGACAACACTTCAAGTGTAATTTCTTTTATTGGCATTGATAGAGGGGCACCTTAAAGGCAACGGAATGTATGTAATATCAGCCCATATTTCCTCCTTTATAACGTCATCATGTTGGTTCCAGCCCTTTTGTCGCAACGCTTTCTGCTGGGATTTGTACAGGAAGCTGGAGCAAAAGCTGCGATGGCGAAGTGCAGAAATGGGCTGGGCTGGAAGCATTGAGACTCAGTCACAGCACCACACAGAGAGCTTGAAAAAGCCTTAGTGTCTCATGCAGAGCAGAGAGGGAAACTGAGGTCCAGGTAGAAAGTCTTTCCAGTTTAAGCCAATAACAAAAGAATGTCTAAGTTGGTCAGACTTCTCAGCCTGCCGGCCCTGCCGTCTGGGAGCTAGTCTGCTTACCAAATAGCTCACTGACAGTTTTCTCCTGTATTTCTTTCTCTTCTTCTGCAGGATGGCTACTTCTCTCATAGGCCCAAAGAAAAAGTTCGAACCGACAGCAACAACGAGAACTCTGTCCCCAAAGACTTTGAGAATGTTGACAACAGCAACTTTGCCCCCAGGACCCAGAAGCAGAAGCACCCACCAGAGCTGGCAAAGAAGACCCCCAGCAGGCAGAAGGAGCGTTTGCAGCGAAAGCTGGACTCCCAGGACAAAGGCCAGGGACAGTCAGTCCTGGGGAAAGGCCCCAAGGAGGTGCCGCCTCCCAGGGACAGAGCTGCAGGCAACAGCAGCCGAGGAAAGGATGCCTCCAGGCATGCCCATAGGAAGAGTGGTGGTGGTGGGTCCCCCGAGACCAAGTCTGACCAGCCTCCTAAATGTGACATCTCTGGCAAGGAGGCCATCTCAGCCCTCACTCGAGCAAAATCCAAGCATTGTCGTCAGGAGATCGGGGAGACATACTGTCGTCACAAGCTGGGGCTGCTGATGCCCGAGAAGGTGGCTCGGTTCTGCCCCCTGGAGGGTAAGTCACTTTCTCCTGCCCTTGGCCCCGTCTTGCTGCCTTCAAAGGCCCTCTGAGAACAGCTGCCCTGCTTCTCAAACCCTGATGGAGACATCTGATTTGTCTGAGGACTCGGCAAACTCTTACAGTCTGCTATAAGGAAAGTGTTACAAAATCACATTACATTTTGTGAGTACTTTAACCCATTGCCTGTAAGAAAGATATGCAGCTTTGACATTATGATACGACTTCTGCAAACATGCGAGGTCAAGTTTATACCTGTCCTGGGCTCAGGATGCAGAAAAAAAAAATCAGTCTGTGTTAAACCTAGGCTTTTTTTTTCCTTGTTATTTACTCCCTAAATAGTGCAGTATAACTACTATTTGTAGAGCGCTGATATTACATAAGGAATTACAAGTCATTCAGAGGTGATTAGCAAGCTGGGTGTGGTGGCACATGCCTTAAATCCCAGCACCCAGAGGTAGAGGCAGGTGGATCTCTGTGAGATCAAGGCTGGCCTTGTCTGTATAGCAAGTTCTAAGCCAGGTCAGCTTGTACTATGGGGAAAAGCAGAGATAATTGGAAGAGTACAGGAGGATGTGTCTGGGTTACATGCAAATACCACACCATTTCATATGAACTTTGGACACTGTTGGTTTTGATATTATGGGGATTACATCTAACACTCCCATACCCTCTAACCCCTCACTGTGGATCCTAAGAGACAATTGTGTGAGTCTCCGTTTGCCCCTAGGGTATCATCTGACTGGTGGTGACTCCATACACTTAGTGTTCAAAGAGGTGGGAAGGGGACACCAGCACAACGCCCTTCACACATTCCCTCTAAGTTTCATCTCTTTTTGAATTTTTAGCAGCCAGTGAGTATCTGTGGAACTGTCCCTGTTCAATAGAGAGATTTAAAAGGAAAAATCTTCCTTTCCCCCTCCCCCGTGTGGTCCAGGTGGTTTCTGTCTGCATTCTTGATTGGGCTTGGCACTTAGAGTGCAGCAATAATTAGGTGAAATGCAATGTTTCCAAGGACTGTTCTTGGCCAGTGCCAGGCAGGGGACTCCTTGGAAGTCTGAACCAAATAATATGGGTCCCTGCCAGGTACAGGGCTCATACACTTGCTCCATGAAGGACGGGTAGTAAATGCAACGGCTGGAGCCTGCTGCGGGAGCAAAAACACAAACCTGAGTACGTTCTGCTGAAACTTATTTGCAAACATAGGCCACTGGCACACTTTATTGACTTCGAGTAAATATCGGCAGTCTATTCACTCTCCCCAGCTTGTGATAGGCTTGCAGTGCCATCCATCCATTTTAAGGTGGAAATGCTTCTAAATCAAAACCGTGTTTAATACATCTGGCCTACAAATGTCCTAGCTGAGTCTGGTCGACCTTAAATGTGCTCTGAAGACTTTCATTTGTCTATAGTTAGGCAAAGCCTTCAAGAGTAAAGCCTACTTTATGCTAACATGTTGACTGCCTTGTTTAATTTATTAAACACTGCAGTGAATGAGGAAAGTAGAGGAGTGGGATGGACTTGTCTCAGCACGGTGAGTTTGTAAAGCTATTATGAATCCATTTTGCAGACAGGACAATTGAGGCTCAAAGAGGTTTAGGGCTTGGCTAGAGATATATAGCTAGTAGCTAGTAGAGCTGATACTGGAATTCAGGTTGCAGAGCCTGCCCCTCCTCCCAAAAGTCTGTCTGTCTTCAGGAGGCAAAAGATTTTACTTTAGTTCAAGTTGTACAAGTCCCAAAGAAGTCTTGCAGCTTGTGGGCCGTGCCTCCTGCTCCTTGGTATAGCTGGAAGGGTGAAGTGAGGATGACATTCAGGGAACAACAAAATTGACGATGCCAGACACATGGAGCATGGGTGCTGGGCCAGAATGCTGGATTCCGGTCTCAGATTTCTTTTGCACGGGCTGTGAGGCTTGGCCCAAGTTGCTTGACCTCTCTGTGCTTTTGTTCCTTCACAAGACAGGGAAGGTGAGCATGATCACATTTCTCTCAGAGGGCTGGTGAGACACAGTTCAGCAATGCTCACCAGTAATATACATTACATGGATACTTGCCATGCAACCTGCTCCACAATTATCCACAAGAAGAAAACTGAAAATTCACCAACACATGCAAAGGGTTCCATGCCTCTAGCCATGTGAAGATGTCTCTGAGTTGGTTTTGCGGTGTGGTATTCTCTGGGGATGCCCTGAGGGGCTGGCTGTCTCTACCTTGGCCCAGGTGGCATGCTCTCCGGGGACCTCTGAGCTGGTTAATACTATTTGCATTTAAGAGACATTGCACACCCAGCCCCAGCTACGCTTTAATTTCCTGTGCCACAGCCTCCCCTTTTGCAATAAATTTACTGTGAATAGACTAATTGTAAAATAACCCTAATTGGGTAGTTATCAATGAACAACTTCCCGTGGAACAGAATGGCTTACAATTAATAGCATTTAAGCCATAAACTATTCTTCTGCAGAAAGCGGGGATGTAATTACACCCCACAGGGAGACTGTGTTCCCTTTCTGGAAACCATGACACCCGGAATTCCCTCTGCTCAGGAGGGATTTGAGCTTCAGCCCAGTGGTCCTTTTATTTCCTGTGAAAGGAGGAAATGGAAATGGAGTAGAGGACAGTTTATGGCATCCAGAGATATAGGGCACATGTGCCTCCTCACACACAGACATACTAGGCCTCACCAGACCTTAGCCACTGTAGCCAGAAGTTGAACATGGGTTAAAGAGCCAGACCCTTGGGGCGCTCTGGACAGGATTGGAGGAAAGGAAATAGATTTTCTATGTTGACACTTGTGAAAGGCTTTGTACCTGCTGCTCCTCCAGCCAGTCTTCTCTGCCCCATCTGCACTCAGGCCTTAGGAAAGGCAGGAAGCTCAGGAGGTGGTTTGCTTTCTCTAGAGGCTTTCATGTCCTTCTAATGTGTCTCATTTGCTCTCTGCCTCCTGTGGAGAGCAATTTGGAAAGAGAGGAAAAGAAACCCAGGTGTCATTCCATTCTGGGACACCAGTCACCTATGGGCTATCCCCCAAGGGAGCTGCAGGATGTTCATCAAAGCGCTGTGGGCTGTCCACCAAGGGACATGCAGAGGAAGGTCCTGAGGGGATTGTGGGAAGGCTCTGTCCTGCCTGTCCTCAGGAATGGCCTTAGAGGAACTTGTCTCCAACCATTTAGCAAGCTCTGAGCTCAATGCAGCCTCCAAGCTACATACAAATGCACACATGCACAAACATGTACACATGCATACATACACACAGAGTTGCATGAACCACCCATCCCCTCCCTTGGTCTGTAAAACCAGCTTAGGTTTCCTATGTTTTGTTTTGTTTTCCTAACCCTAGCCCTAGCCCTAACCCTAACCCTAACCCTAACCCTAACCCTTATACCCCCAGTTCTCCCATGTCCCACCCCCAAAACCATAACCCATAGCCCCAGGTTCTCTGTGTTTATGAAGTACAATTCTGTGAGAACAAAGGTCAAGGACAGCCTGAACTGGAAAATAAATGTTTCTATAACCAAAGATCTCAGTCCACCTGGGCTGAAATCCCAGTCCTGTGTTTGGTGGCCCCATGCAGACGCTGGTGATCTGTGAAGAGGTCACATGGGAATTCCTGTCCATTTTGTCAGGTGAGGAAACCAAATCACTATAGGGCTGCCGGCACTTGCATGTGACAGGGGAACACTCAAGAACTAGGGGTGAAGATTGTCAGAGAGGTTCTAATAGGAAAGGAACTGCGTGGACACAACAAACTAGCTCTACATTAGCCTTTGCAGGAGGCCTGAGGGTCATAGCTGCACAGAGGGGTGGAGGGAGGCTGTCCCCACAGAGAGAGCTACAGGTGGCACAGCGGGGGGAGGGGAGTCTCCTCTACCTCCCCATGCTCCAAGGATAGAAAGGGGAAGACACAACACAAGTAGAGGCTTTTAGAAATTCTGCCTGACAGCCCAGCATAATGGAAAAATGCAAATGAAGATGCCAGTGTCTGCTTGGCTAGCTGGAGCTCCAGGTCCAGTGAGAGACCCTGTTGGGGGGTTGAAGAGACTCCTCAGCAGTTAAGAGCACTGGCTGTTCATGCTGAGGACCTGGGTTCAGTTCCCAGCACCCACATGGCAGCTAACAACCACCTGTAAATCCAATTCCAGGGAGATCCAGTGCCCTCTTCTAGCCATGGTGGGCCTTGTGTACATGTGGTGTACATATATGCAGGCAAAACACTCATACACAAAATAAAAGTAAATAAATGAATTTTTTAAAAGGAAGGTTGAGGCCTTGCAAGATGACCCAGTGTGTGTGATAACCACTAGGTCATCTGGTCATCACATATGCATTCACACACATGCACGCTCACCTGCACAAATATGTGTATGCACACACAAAGAGTAACAATAATGGCAAGCTGTGCATGGTAACACATACCTGTAATCCTAGCCCCTGGTAGGCAGAGGCAGAATGATCAACGAAAATTCAAGGTCAACCCAGTCTATATTGCAAGTTCCAGGATAGCCAGAGTTAACATAGCAAGAGCTTGTCTCAAGTAATCATAACAGTAACAGCAACAACAGACAGCAGGTGTTAGTGAGGATGTGGTGAGATGGAACCTTGTACACTGCACAGAAGGGTGCAGTCATCATGATAAAGAGTGTGGAAGTGCCTCAAAAATGGGGCCTAGAGAGAGATGGCTCAGCAGTTAAGAGCACTGACCAGTCTTGCAGAAGACTGGGGTTCCGTTACCAGCATGTACATGGCAGTTAACAACTGTCCGTAACTCCAGTTCTGTGGGATCTCATGCCTTCTTCTGACCTCCATGGGTAATGCATGACACAGGTATACTTACATACATGCAGGTAATACACCCATACACATAAAATAAAAATAATAAAATACTAAAAAAATGGAAAATAAGATTGCCTTATCATGTCACTTGGAACCTGCTTTAGCTGCAGACAGGGCCTGGAGTCAGGAACTCCTGGAGAGTTTCTTGCCGGGCTCTCAGGGAGG